CTCCGCCCCGAATGCGGAGCTTCTGCTGGATGGGCTCAACCTGATGCGGGCGCCCTGGGGGCTCCTTTCCAGCTCCAGGCCTGAGCCCTGCGTGCCACACTGTCTCCCGAGGGGTGGAGGTGGGCTGTAGGGGCTGAAGACTCCTGGGGGCAGAGATCTGGCTGGCCACTTTGGTTCAGGGAGTGAAGAAATTCATTCCTAAACCTGGTATTGCTGAAGCTGCCAAGCAAGCACTGCCGACTTTTCTTTGGCCTTAAAGCACCAATTTCCAAGCCGGTCCCCAAATATGAGGCCTAATCATTTCATCGCTCCGTCATCCCTACCAGTCACCGAGGGCAAACTGTTCCAGGCCACATGTGAGACATTTCATCCTCTCTCATCGTCAGCGCACCTTCACTGCTGCAAGGGTGCAATCCTTACTTAGCCGGTTTCCCTAAGGGGCTGAGGCTGAGAGCTGCCCCAGGACTGGAGGCCAGGTTAACTTCCTCGCTGAGGTCCAGCAGGCCTCTTGAGGGGGTGCTGACTGCCACAGCCAGGCACGCGCTGCAGGGTGGTGTCCTGGAGCAGCGCCTCTCCACCTGGGGCCTGCGGGCCTTCCTGTGCTCTCCTGGCTCTCACGCCATGGGCCTCACCAGCCCTGGTTCAGAAGAGGCTCAGTCCTGTGTCCACGGTGTGCTGGTTCAGTGTCTACCAGCTGGGCCTGGCGAGGGAAGCTTTAAGAGGCCAGAGTCAGTGGCTATTTCTATCCCAGGAAATCCCCAGGTCATCTATGAGCGGTGCCCCCATTGTGGCTGACTGCAAGCTACCACCAGTTCAACAACTGGCTCATGAAACTTTAACAATCTGGTCGTGACCCGAGCTGCTCCAGTGCACTGCTGCCTGTGGGAGCCCCCTGAGAAGGGGTCCACATGGTAAGCCAGTCGTACCAAGTAATAGCAGGTGAGTTTCGTGGGAAGAGAAAATACAGAGCGGGCAGGGATGCATTAGGGCTCTGTGGGATAGAAGCACATACAATTTGAGAAGCTCTCTTTAAAAAAAAATAAAATAAATGACAAATACGAAGTTGAGGTCAGGACCTTGGAAGTGGCCTGTGCAAGTCAGAGGTCCTTAAATACTTTCAGGTTCAAGTTAAACGTGCCACTAAGAGCCGGGTAAGGGAGTGGTGGCCAGGTGGCTCTGTGGGAAAGGCCTGTCCAGGCAGAGGGAAGGGCCAGTACAAGGGCACTGAGATGGGAGTGGTCTGCACTGGAGGAAGAGGCTGGGGCTGGCCAAGCATGGGGGACTGGGGCCCCTCGACAGGATGGGCCTGGCAGGCCCTCTAAAGGACTTTGGCTTTTACCATGGGCCCAAGATGTAACCGCTGTTGGTGCCACTTTACTGGGCCCACTCGGCCCACTCTGTTGAGGAGAAGCAGTAGAGGTGGGTGGGAGTGGCAGGTTAGTTAGGAGCTTAGTGTAGTGATCCAGGTGAGAGATGATGGAGGCTCAGACCAGGGTGGGGGCAGCCAGAGTTGCAGGTGTGCAGCTGGGGGTGCAGCCTGGGCAGGTCCTCAGCTCCCTGGAGGGGCAGCATGGGGTGGAGGCCGGGCTTCAGTGGGCTGAGGCGTACCTGGAAGGTGGGAGGTGAAGCTCGTGGTGGGCACAGGTCTTTGAAAGGTTGGAAGCAGATGGACGTGGGCAGTGGGGGGGGGGCTCTAAAGGTGGAGCCTGGGTATAAGCTCCGCCCTGCCGTGGCATCTGCACCTCCGCGTCCCCTTCTGTGATGAGGATTTGCTGCAGCCAGTCACAGTGCCTGCACCTTCTGGGGTTAGCCATGGTGACAACAATGATGACAGTGATGCTATAAGACGGGGAGACTGGGCAGGTGCACAGCTGGGAGAGAGAGCCATGGGAAGGGCGGGGAGGAGGTGGGAGGAAGGCTGTGATGGGAAACACTTACAGGTTAAGGATGGGAGCTGCTCTCTCTCAGCACTCCGGGAAATCGAGGCCTGGTCACCTGCTGGGTGTGAAGGTGAGCAGGTTGGGGAGGTTGCTGGGGTTGGGGGTTGGGGTTGGGAGCCAGCCTGAGCCAGGGGCATGCCCAGGGCCCACACTGCTGGTGCTGGGGAGGGTAGCACAGTGACTTGCGGTCCCTGAGTGGGGCCAGTGACTCAAGCCGCCTGGCAGATTTCAGGTTTCGTAGGGAGGGTGATTGGCCATTATGAGGTTCACAGGGAGAGGCCAGTGGGAGTGGAGGAGCACCAGCAGCCACTACCCGTCCCCTACCAGCGAGTGGGCAGGGCGGGAAAATGGGGCTGGAGGGCTGGACTGAGTGGTGAGGCCCAGCAACATGTCCTGGTCGGCTGAGGTCTCTTAGGCTGCTGAGGCGGGCAGTGGGGTGGAAGGTTCTGTGAGGGGCCTCTCAGGAGGAAGGGAAGCACCTTCCAGGCAGCCAGCTGGCCCAGCCCAGAGGCCAGCACCACAGGCTCCTCCCACCTCTTTCCCTGAGACAGTTTCACTTTTGTTTCCTGTCCCAGGCCCCAGCAGTGTAAGTGCGGGATGTAGCCCTCCCCCAATGAAGGGAGGCTGGAGGGAGCTGGGAGGGGTGGGGTGGGGCTGTGGGCTGCTACCTACCTTCCTGTCTGGCCCAGGGTTGTGATGAAGGAAGCAGAGGCAGAGGTGGGGGCGGCACTGGAGCTCAGCGGGCTGCCCCCCAACGTGCCCGACGAGCTGCTCACACTGTACTTCGAGAACCGCCGACGCTCTGGTGGGGGGCCTGTGTCGAGCTGGCAGAGATTTGGCCGCGGGGGTGTACTCACTTTTCGGGAGCCTGCAGGTGAGGGGACTGATGGAAGGGGCGGCCTGGGCCCCCGAAGGTTGCTGGGCCTCACAGCCTACCCCTCCCCACCTGGCAGACGCAGAGCGGGTCTTGGCCCAGGGGGAGCATGAGCTACAAGGCGCTAGGCTCAGCCTGAGGCCGGCCCCGCCCCGCGCCCCTGCACGCCTACTGCTCCAAGGACTGCCCCCTGGCACCACCCCCCAGCACCTGGAGCAGCATGTCCAGGCCCTGCTGCGTGCCACCGGACACCCCGAGCAGCCCTGCCGAGCTCTGGCCAGTCCTCGACCAGACAGGGTCCTGGTGCAGCTGCCAAAGCCCCTCTCTGAGACAGGTGAGAGGCGGGACTGGGGCAGGTGCGCCGTTAGGGGAGATGGCCTGAGCCAACTCGCACCTCCCCTACAGAAGTCTGCGTGCTGGAGGAGCGGGCCCGGACCCTGTGCCTGGAAGGGAATGAGGTGTCTGTGGTGCGGGTGCCACAGGCCCGAGCTGTGCGAGTGCTGGGGGGCCACTCCCCCGTGGACCTGCTGCTGCTGGAGCTGTACCTGGAGAATGAGCCCCGCAGCGGGGGCGGCCCCCTGGACGGCCTGCGCAGCCTGCCTGGGGCCCTGGGCACCGTCGTCTCCTTCCAGCAATGGCAGGGTGAGTGGGGCTGCGGAGCCGGGCTGCCCTCCCACCTCTCAGAGCCCTGATGGCCTCGTGCTCTCCCTTCCTTCAAGCTGCCGAGAGGGTGCTGCAGCAGGAGCACTGGCTGCAGGGCTCAGAGCTGAGCCTTGTCCCCCACTACGATGTCCTGGAGCCTGAGGGGCTGGATGACGACACCAGTGGAAGGGGCCACTCAGCCGAGTCGGGGCCTGGGGCCACTGAGCATGCTGTGCTGGAAGCTGGAGGGTCAGTGAGGGCACTGAGGGGTGCAGGGACTGCGACCTTGGGCTCTGAGGATGCACCAGGACGATCAAGAACCTCTCTAAGGACAGGTCCCATAAGGTCTCTGGAACAGGCCGGGCTAGTCAGCTCGGGGCCCATGGGGTCACTGGGACAGGAGGGGCTGGAAAGCCTGGGGCTCATGGGGTCACCGGAGCAGGCAGGGCTGGTAAGCTCAAGGCCTATAGGATCTCCAGGCCCAGTGGGCTCGATGGAGATCACCACAGGGTCTCCAGAGCAGGAGGGGTTGGAGAGCCTGGGGCCTGTGGGGGCACCGGGGCAGGAGGGGCTGGTGGAGATGGTGCTCCCAATGGAGCCGGGAGCCATGCGCTTCATACAGCTCTATCACGAGGACCTTCTTGCTGGCTTGGAAGACGTTGCCCTCTTCCCACTCGAAGAATCAGATGTTGCTGGCTTTCGGGTGCGTGACCTCTGAGGATTCTCCACCTTTGGCCCATTCTCCCACTGGGGGGGCTCTGGGTATCTTTCTTGTGCCCCAGACCTGCAAACTGTCCCCTTCCCCTGTGGTCCTGCAGCTCTATGGAGCCCTGGCCCCATGCCAGGCGGCCGAGGACTTTCTGCAAAGTCTGCTAGGCAGCATGAGCTGTCACATGCTGAGCCTGAAGCACCCGGGCAGCGCCAGGTTCCTGCTGGGTCCACAGGGGCAGCACCTTCTTCGGGAGCTGGAGGCTCAGTTCCGGTGTGTCTTTGGGACAGAGCATCTGGCCAGGGACACCCAGGACATGGACCCTGGAGAGGTAGCCGTGGAGCCTGCCCCTGCCCTCCGCTTTCTCACACCTCAGCCTTTGTACCTCCTCCACCCCTGCTCAGAGGCCTGGCATTCTCTCCTGATAGGTGGACCCCACTGAGGCCCTCCAGGCCCTCTCTGGCCAGTCCTACACTCTGTCGCCCCCAGGCAGTGACCAGGAGAATCTGAACCTGGGTAGGGCTCCCTGAGGATGTCCGGCACATCCTGTGGCCCTTCCGTGACCTCACTCTTTGCCCGGCTTGGCACTCCCACCTGTCCGTAACCCCGTGTCCCCTAAATCCTTTCCCCATCTTTCACCCAGTGCTTGACTTCTTATCTTTCAGCCCCACCCTGGCTGGGCTTGATCCCTCACCCAGTGCCTCTCTCTGTCCTCAGAGGAGGTCCGAGAGCTGCTGGCCACCCTGGAGGGCCTGGACGGAGAGGACTGGCCACCCCTGGAGCTGGATGAAGGGGAACCTGAGGCAGAGCCTGTCCCCAGGGCTGGGGAGGAGCCCTTGGCCCCCAGCACGGGGGCACCTGGGCGGCTGGAGGAGGAGGCCGCGATGCAGCTGGCTCTCCACCAGTCACTGCAGCCACAGGGCCAGCTAGCTGAGCAGAAGGAGGCCGCCGCGCTGCAGCAGGCCCTGGCCCTGTCGCTGCTGGAGCCAAGCCCGTGGGAGGCGGGAGAGCTCCTGGGTAGGGCTGCTGGCCAGGCCCAGCTGGTGGTGCATGTGGCCTTTGAGCAGGATCTGGACGAACTGGACCGGGCTGTAGCGGCCGCCTTGGAGCTTCACCTCCGGGAGGAGACGGTGGGGCTCCGGGGCCACATGCTGCCGGCGGAGCTGCTTGCCCGCCTGGAGCAGTGCCACAGCGTGAGCGTGGCCCTTGACGGTGACTGCGTCGTGCTCCGTGGCTTTGGGGCCCAGCCCAGCCGTGCTGCCCGCCACTTAGCGGCACTGCTGGCTGGCCCCCGGGATCAGAGTCTGGCCTTTGTCTCTGAGGCTTCGAGCCCCACCGGTGAGTCTGCAGCTTGGGACTGGGGGCTGGGGTGGGCCAGCTCTCGGGAAGCAGTGCCCCAGGCATGGCCCAGACCCTTTTCCCCCTGCGTGTCAGGGCCCCTGCAGAGGCCGAAGGGGCCCTTGGGCAGACTGGAGAGTCTGGCCGAGAGCAGCAGGGAGTTCCAGGAGGTGGTGCAGGCCTTCTACGACTCACTGGACACTGGCCACGGCAAGGTCCGCATCGTCCGGGTGAGTCCACGCTCTGTCTTGTCAGCCTCATGGCTTCCTGGGCTCATGCCACCGTTTTCGCCTTGCAGAGCCTGTGGGCTGCCCTCTTGCATGTCAGGGTCAGCTGGCCAGGAGCTGCCCAGCACAGGGCAGGCTGGAAGCTCCAGGCTCCCAGCCCCATTCCTGCCCAGAGCGTGTTCACCAAGTCTGGGCGGGACAGCCAGAAGGGCATAGAGGTTGGGGGTGTCCCAGGATCTGGCACGCCTGAGCACGGGTCCTGCCTCTGCCCATTACACCGGAGGATGTGACCCTCCACGCTGTTCCTCGTCTGGAGCGTGAGGTGGTGACGCCATCTCGTGGCCACTATGAGGATTACACCTTCCTAGACATGTGCCTAGTGCCGTTCTAGGGGCTCTTCTGCCTCCCATGGGGTGGGCTCTGGCCAAAGGACGGCTCCCTGCAGCTGGGTGGCTGCCTCTTGTAGTTTAGCTTGCTAAATGTGCCAACTCTGAGCACGTGTATGCTTCAAAAAAGGCCGGGACCAATGGTGGCAGCCAATAGTGAAACCCCGGGAGTCCCAGAGAGGAGGCTGAGGAAGGACGAGGGAGGCCACATGGGGAGTTGTTGGAGGGCAGTGCGGCCCACACGTCTGTACGGCCAGCAGGGAGGACTGAGGAGGAGGCCCTGCCAGGCTGGTCTTCTGGCAAGAGTGCCAGAGCTCAGGCTGGGGCGGGGACGAGGGGGGTGCGGGGAAGAATTAACTGGGAGCTGGGGTCCAAGACAAGTCTGAAAATGAGCTGGTTGTGGAAGCGGGGAGGCAGGGAGGGGCGCGTGTAGCTGGAGCAGGAAGCAGGGTGGAGTGCTCCTGGCTGACGGGAAGGTGCCCCAGGGCTGGCTGGACACAGGTGAGAAGGAAGGGACGGCTGGGCTCACTGTGCCGGATGCTAGTCCGGCGCTCTTGACTCTTGATGCACAAAGGTGTGCCTCGGTGACCTGAGCTGGTCAGAAATGCCCAAGCTGTGGCCTTCCCCAGTCTTTCAGGAGATGACTGCTGTAACTTTGGATAAAGTACTTTTCCTCCACTCTGGACCGAGCAGCTGTCTCTCACTTCTGTGTTCTGGTGGAGGAAAGACACGCTGCACTGGTACCCCTGGCTCCCTGGCCAGTTTTGTCAGTTGCGTGCTCATGAGTCTTCCAGCGAGCGCCTTTGTGACTTTAGAGGGTACACTGGAACCTTTTCTTTTCACTTAACAACTTTAGAAACTGTTGCTTGCCTTTCTGTGTAGAAGATGAGCAGGATGGCCTCCCCACCTTCCCCTTTCACCTCCCCCTCCCTCCTCCAATCTCACAGCTTGGTCAGTTACATTATTTTTATTGTCATCAAGGTTGACGTCATCGTCTATTCTGTAACCATCACAAAGCTCCATCCTTGGGCCATAGATTGTTGGACATATAACGATCATGAGAAAATATTTACCACTGAACCATAGAGCAAATAGGGACATGAAGTTCTAGTTATTAAAACTGGGGTGCATGAAAGAGAATATTCTTGGATTCAAGGACTAATTTGTTTTCAGTTGTTTTCACCTCCATTTTTTGCTGTGCTGTGCTTGGCTGCTGGGTCACTCTCTGTGCCCCCTGGTCACCCTCTTGCATAGATTCTTTTTCTGTTCAGTAGAAGCATCTCCTGGAGAGAGTAGTAGACAGCTTGGACTTTCACATTGTGTTGCCGTTTACAGTTAGAGGTAATTTGCAACTGTAAGTTGATATTGGTGCCTACTATTCTTTTTCAAGCAAAAGGTGCTGTGTGTTTAAGACATTTCTGTTAAATGAGAACAGCTGGTTCTTGCCTAGCTTCGTATGTCCTGAATTTATCCTTACCGGGAATAGTTGGGCTGGATAGAGTATTCAAGATCAAAATATGTTTTCCTCCAGATCCTTGAAAGACATTACTCTTTCTTTTCTCTTTAAAAATGTTTGTTCTTGGAAAGTTAAAAAAAAAAGAATCTCTGTGGTCTCTTAGCATCCAGTATGGGCTTGAGAAGGCCAGGGTGAGAACATGAGACTTCTTCCATTTGCTTATTTTATTTTTTTTTTA